TAGCGTAAGAAGTACACCCAGCTGCAGTTGCGACCTAGCACGGAATCTCTGCAGTTTGCTTAGCTGATCAAAGTGCTTTTTATTTCTTCCCAGCAAAATTTGTTCTTTTTTTTCTCGAGATTTGTGAAAAAATTTGAGAATCGCATTTCAGGAGATTCAGGAAAGTTTTTCATTGTGCAACAACAAGACCCTTTCGCGAATTGTGATGAAGCAGGATGGATTTGCTTTCCGTCTCATGTAAGTTTCTGGATGATTCCAATAATACAGGAACATGCCGAAAAGCGTTTTTGACCGGAGCTAGTTGTCTTCGCGCCTTCTCAACCGAAATTCCTCTGTTTTCTCAGGTACCATATGTATAACAGCAATTGCTTTGGTCCGTGGTATACCAGGCGACAGCTAAACAAGGTCCATGAGAAATGTCCCAATGGGCATTCTTCGACTGCTTCTTTCAAATATGGAGGTAATATTTTCGTTGACGCAAGTATGCCAGTGCCTGTTTAACGCAAAACTCGCATTTAAAATATTCTGAAATTTTTGTGTTCTGCGTTTTTAATTGTTCGCACTTCTGATCAGTAAGAAGGTGCTTTGTTCTGTTCTCAGACCGGCAACGTTTGAAAAGAAGTGGTGATATTTAACACATACCTAGGACATCTCGAAACCGCTGAAGTCTCGCCATCTAATTCTGGTAGAGGAACCTTTGAACTGCTAATCCCTTTAGAAGCATCATCAGGACCCGTAGGAAGTTGCCAACTCTGCAGCTGGAAGAGATTATTAATTACATTTGATCCGATTGGCAGCCTTGTTGCTCTTCCCTGTACTGATTTCGCCTTGTTAACAGAATTCTCTCTGGGAGTGCCAGTGTATCTTTCCTTTCACTGATGAAGAACATTACAAAAGCCTTAAGAAGCATTGCAAAAAATTTTTTGGCGCACCTTGTCTTGATGGCGCATGTCACATCATTTCGGAAATATTCCACTGTAAATGTGATTTAGCGTGTTAGTGCCATAGATGTGCGAGTCCTTGAGTTGCTGTGTTCTTATTTCAGATATCACAATAACAGTGATTCCACAAAATGGTGACAACTACAGCTATTTGATCTTTTGCGAGCCAACGGACGATTGTGTGGTTGTGGATGTCGGTGATGCGAAGCCCGTCTTGGAATGTTTGGGGAGTGAGAAAGTACCACAGGCTGTTCTCGTCACCCATAAACATTGGTACCACTTGGAACTTGCTTTTTTGATACTTAAC